GGCATTTCTCTCATCTCATCCTGCAGAGCTGTCTTGGCAGCATGTGCTTTTAGGGGTCCATATGACCAGATACAAGCAATTCTGCCTTGAGTTTACCCATTCTCATGTCCCCTGAGGGACCGTCTATCTCTGTAAACGTCATCACTTCTTTGTCTCTTCTGGCTGTGTGAATGTACTGAGCTGCATGCCTGCATTTCTGTCCCAATAGGTATGGAAAATGTACACAGACTGAGATTGGTTCAGTCAAGCCTGACACTGTGTATTGGGGCAGTGACCCTTGTTCTGTGTTTGAGGTCCAGTGGGATGTGTTGCATGTCCAGAGCTGCCGCTGGCGTCTGTCTTCCGTGGGAGGAGAGTGCAAAACAGCCTTTATGGGTGCTTCCCTTCAAATCCTGACCTAATGCTTGCAGGGCTGGAGACCCAAAATCCAGCACCCAGCCAGGGTCCAAGATACAGCCAGTTTGTGCTCCAGGAGCACATGGAGACTGCATGGCCAGAAAAGCCGTTAGCTTAAGTGGATGAGATGCACAAGGTGAGGCCCCTCTGGGTAACTCTCTAGCCCAAGGCAACATCATCTGAATGAAGGACAGTTCCCAGCCATCGGAGAGGCCCCCACACAGGTGACAGTTCTCTTTCCTCCTCCTCCTGCCCTCCCCTGGATCTCTGTTTTCCCCAAGTCCTGAATATCTCGGGCAACCTCTGCACTGGGGGCTGCACCTGCACAGCGCAGACACCTCCCACTGTGCCCTGCTTGTCTTTGAGGACTTCTAGCTGTCTGCTAGGAGCTGTCAAGGGCAGGACTCCAGCCCCAGAACAGTGTCTTCCCTGCCTTGCTCACCCTACACCTGTCCACCCAGTCTGTCTGCCAGCATTGCCAATCGCTCTGGTCACGGGACAGTTCATTTCCAATCCATCTGTGCAGAACATGACAGCTCTTTCTAAACTAAGTTTGTTTTATGATGTCTGATTTGTACCAATAAATTGTATTTTAATAGCTCACCCTGGCTCCTGGCTGTCCCTGAGCTGTATATGACAGCAGG